GAAATGGAATCCTCACTTAAATTGGAGGAAAGGACTGTTGTGCATCTGTTCCACCCAGCTGGAGGGGGGGGGAAGGACATCCCCCAATAATAGCCACAACCACAAGGGAGCTGGCATTGGTGGCAAGCAAACACATAGCTCTGGAGGAGAAAATTCCAAAGGAATATTGGGACCTCAGGGAGGCGTTCAGCAAGAGGGCTTCAGATGTGTTTCTAGCCCATTGCCCCATAGACTGCAGCATAAAGATCCTCCCTGGAGTGAAACTCGCTAAGCCAAAGCTCTACTCGATGACCCCTGAAGAGCTGGAGCAATTGTGAACTTTCATTGATAAAATCCTAAAACGGGGTTTCATTCAACCTGCTAGACCATTGGGAGGGGAATAAGTTTTTCCAATAGAACAGAAAGGAAATGAAAGGAAAAGCAGAGATACAAAAGATCAACTTCTGCCAGATGAAATAGTTTTGGGGAATTGCAATAGCCAAAAAACAATTTACATATGGTCTGGATTGATTATGAAAAGGTGTTACCTCTTAAGCTCTTTCAGGCTAAGACATTAGCCCAATTTTCTTATGGGACTCTGATTGGACTGTGGACCTTGGTCTATGGCAAAAATTGTGTGGGGAGAAACTGAAAAAATATACTTTAAATGTAGTATTGGAATTATGGAACTGTCTTCCTTGTAAAATATTTTGGTATGTAATGAATTTCAGTTGTATGTTTGTTCACTTATGCACATGCAAGGGAAACAATGCTACAGTACCAAAATATTGTACTGGATAGTACTTTTTTGTGTAAATAGAAGAGTTTTTAATTGGTTATACAGCTAAAGAATATACTGACATTTATTTTCCCTTTTCAGTGTGTGTGTGTGTGTGTGTGTGTGTGTGTATTGCTTTGAACTCCTTTGGGGGGAAGAGGTGGAGGAAGAAGAAGGTTGTGTGGAACTGTGTTACTTGTGGAAATGTTGCAACACCTGCCTACCTGATTGCAGGAAAACAGGTTCAATTGCAGTAATAAATAATGGCACTGAAATGTTATGCTATTATGTAAATTAGGCCTCTGCAAACAAATAAACAAACAAACAAACAATTAGCCACTGCTATCACTCTATTAGCCAGGCTGGAGAAATCCTCACCTCTCCTGGTGATGTATCATGGCTTCAGATATTTCACCATCTTTATTCCCCTGGTTCTTGTTGTCTAAAGTTTTGCTATCCTCTTCCATGGCATGCTGAAAAAAGAGGTCATTTGGAACAACGTTTGCTTTCTTTGGAATTCCCACGGAACTAAAATTGCTCTCACTGTCCTTCTGGCTCTCAATGGCTGAATCCGCTTCTTCTCTCTCAGCCAAAATATCATCAATGTTTGTCTCATGGTAGCATCTCAAGGGGACAGAGTCCAGATCAGTCTCTGAATACTTCACTGTTCTGCGGATTATTCCAGTTTCACAGTTTTCAAACTTCGTGTTATCTGGTGGAGTCATCTCAATTTCTACTTCTACGTGACATAGGCTGTGTTCTGGCCTTGTCTGATCTGGTTTTTGTTGCACTGAGAGTTTGGATTTCTCAGGTAGCTGAGGTGAAGGATCAAGTGCATTCTGAGATGGCATTCCTGTAATTCAGAGATTACATATTACAAATAAAAGGTACTTATGGTTCCTAAGTGATTCTGGCTCTTTACATTTGCTCAATACGTCTATATCAGACATGTCAAACTCAAGGCCCATGGGCCAGATCTGGCCTGTTAGATCTGGCCTGTTAGTTCTGGCCCACAGGGCTGCCCTGGAAAAAGTGAGGGGCTGGCTCCTGCTGCCTCGGTACTGGCCCAACCCGGCCTGGCCTCGCGCTCCCCCTGGGCACCTGCACAGAGACAGCCAGTGTGCAGGGGCTGGCATCCCCAGCGAAAGAGAAGTACTCAGAACATGGTCAGCCTGGGCAAGATGGTCATTGGGGATGATAGCCCCCTTGCACTCACCCAGGGAAACCTTCTAGCTGGCTAGGCTGGGGTGGGCCAGCCCCTTGCTGTCTCCAAGGCAGCTCTGCAAGGCAGAAGTAAGGCTGACCGCATTCCAGACCAGGGGGCCACCACCATGTAGTTGTTGTAGATCAGCGCCTAGAGCCCCAGCAGCAGTGTCGCAGCCACCACCACTGCCTCCCCACCTCCACAACCCTGTAGCCCTTGATGGGCCACACCTAGCCTACCCCCCCCCCCCCACATGGGAAAGCCATGGCCACTTGCTCGGGGGCGGAGGAGGCAGGGAGAGAGGGAGAGAGGAAGGAAGGGAGACGGGGGAGGGAGATTGGAATAAGAGGCAGGGAGGGTCTGAGGAAAGTCCTGCCTTAGCACTTGACTGCCTGCAACCCTGCTGTCCTCTTGCCATCCCGTTGACACCCCACACTTCCGGGCCTCTCCTGATAGTCACCCATTATATCTCTGAGGATGCTTTTCTTTAAAAAGCTGTCTCTCCTTGCATGGAGAGGGAGCAAGCTTCCCTCTCACTCATGCACTTTGCCCTCCTGCACCCACCATGAACAACCTGGCCAAGGAGAGTGAGCACAGCAACTGCAGCCTCGAAGAGGGAGATAAGCATGGCTGGGCACCAACTTGGGGAAGCGGAGCTGGGCTGGATTGCAGGCTTCTAGTTCCCTGGGAGCTTGAGGGCCAGGCCTATGTGGTTGCCCTCTGGCAGCCCACGCCACAATCCAGGGATCCTCCATATGATCTGAGAGGGACATCGAGACTCCTCTGGTGGACAAGGCTTTGGGGCTCACCCTGGTCTCACCTTCACTGAAGGCCTCCTGATTCCTCTCTCCCAGCCTTGCCTGGTCCCTCACAGGAAGTAGAGGATGACGCTGTTGTGTGAGAAAGCATGGATGAGAAAGTTTGCAGGAAACAGTTGCCTCTGAGTCCAACTTCTGCCTTGACAAATCTCTGGAGAGGAGGAAGGGGTGGCGAGGGAGCTGCATGAGGGAAGGCTGCTTCAACAAGCCAGCATCCTTACCATGCACAATTGGAAATGGGGATTCCTTTTTGAGAAGAGCCAGCCTCTGTTGCTCTCCTGCTTCCTCCTCTTGCTCTCCAGAGATCTGTCAAGGCAGAAACTGGACTTGGAGGAAACTTGCTTCCTGCAGACTTTCTCCGCTGAGTTTCCACATACAGCAGCATCGTCCTCCAGCTCCTGTTTTGCTGGGAGGTGGCACCGGACAGGGAAATGCAGTGATGCCTGAAATTGGGAGAAGAATGTCTCCTTTGGCATACACACACACACACAGACAGACACGCCATTCCAAGCTTGGAGATTTTTATCCACATCTGAGTTTGAAAACTGCCAATCATGCCTGGGCTTGGGAAGAAGGCCCTCTCCTTCTTCTGTGGATAAAAGTTCCCAAACTTAGAATGTGGTGTGTATTGTGTGTGTGTGCCTGCCTGCGCAGTTGTGGGGGGGGGGGTGAGGAGCTTATAGGGCACCACATTGTCCCCATGTCAAGTTAGCCAGTGCGACTTGTTCCGTCCTAACCCAGCCATCCCAAATCAGCCCCACCCAATAAGCAGCATTGAGCTGGCCGTTCCAGCCTGCAGCTAGTTGCAGCAATCCAGCTGTGACCACCCAGCCATGCCCACCCGGCATCATACTCTTACATAATACTGATGTGGCCCTCAATGAAATGGAGTTTGATAGCCCTGACCTATATCAACACTAAATGTCCATGGAGATTCTAAATCATTCAGGTCCTGGTTGCTCCAAAGGTCCTTTTTCAAGAGGCAACTGGACTTTCTGGTTTTTCTTTGAAGACATTTTGTTTCTCATCCAAGAAGCTTCTTCAGTTCTGACTGGATGGTGGGGAACGGAAGGATTTATACTCTTGCAGACAGCTGATCCTTTGCATTCTTTCAGGAAGTCGTTAAGGCCACCTGGAAGTTATCTGTCTCATCAGGGTCACCTGAGTGGTGCAAACTGATGTGGAGTTTTCCTGGAACTGTTGAAAGGACTATGTTGTAGACTGGAGAAAGATGAAGTCGTATCCCCAATGTACAGATCTGCACATGGCTCACTGCATTGTACTGCATATACCATGTTGCTCAGTTTCTCTCTGGGTTTTTTATCCTTGGGGTGGACAAGCTTCTGCCTTAGTGTATTGTCAGGTTTGAAGTGTGCACGTCTGTTGTGTTGGCTCAAGATCCTCCTGAGCTTCTCTGAATTCCTGCAACGTATGGACTGACAACATTGCTTCATTTAATTGTTCTCTTAATTGTCTCTTATGAAGGAGCCCCTGTTGGGTCTTTTTTGAGATTTGATGAAGGCCCACTTGGAATAGCCACATGTTCTGAGGGCTTCCTTGATGTGTTTTAGTTTTTTTTTCCCTTTCCCCTCTTTGCTGGTAGGCTGGCCTTCAGCTTGGGTTCCATTTTGTGCTCCAGTGGGTGGTAGGAATCAAAACGTAAATATTGATTTGTGTGGGGTTTTTCTATAAACTTCAATGTTAAGGCTTCTGTCTTCTTTAATATGTATTGCACAGTCCAGGAAGGCTAGACTAATTTCCTTAACATCTTCCCATGAAAATTTGATGTATCTGTCCACATAGCTGAGATGTTTGGTAAATGCTTCAAATTCCTGTGTTTTGATCTTGACCCAAGTATTGTCCACTTACCTATACCAGTGGGGGGGGGGGAGTGGAATTTCTGTGAACTAATCTAGAGTGTTGGTTTCTACCTCTTCCATGTAGAGATTGGCCATGGTGAGGGGATACAGGTGAACACATGGCACAGCCATGTGTTCTGTAGAAACCTTGATTGTACACTGCTCAAAAAAATAAAGGGAACACAAAAATAAGACATCCTAGACCTGAATGAATGAAATATTCCTACTAAATACTTTGTTCATTACATAGTTGAATGTGCTGACAACAAAATCACACAACAATTATCAATGGAAATCAAATTTAGCAACCCACGGAGGTCTGGATTTGGAGTTATACTCAAAATTAAAGTGGAAAAAAACACTACAGGCTGATCCAACTTTGATGTAATGTCCTTAATACAAGTCAAAAGGAGGCTCAGTAGTGTGGCCTCCATGTGCCTGTATGACCTCCCTACAATGCCTGGGCATGCTCCTGATGAGGTGGTGGATGGTCTCCTGAGGGATCTCCTCCCACACCTGGACTAAAGCATCCCCCAACTCCCAGACAGTCTGTGGTGCAACTTGTCAGTGGATGGAGCGAGACATGATGTCCCAGATGTGCTCAATTGGATTCAGGTCTGGGGAATGGGCGGGCCAGTCCATAGCATCAATGCCTTCATCTTGCAGGAACTGCTGACACACTCCAGCCACATGAGGTCTAGAATTGTCTTGCATTAGGAGGAACCCAGGGCCAACCGCACCAGCATATGGTCTCACAAGGAGTCTGAGGATCTCATCTCATGTGTTCTGGGCTGAAGTTGGTTCTGTCACCTACAGTGCTGTCTTGTAGCTACCATTTTTTCACTACCATGACAGCTTTGGTTGTTAGAATGCAGGTGAAGAGGGAAGTCACATCATAGGAAACCATAGTCTTATCTGAGTCCAGTTTTAGTTTCCAAACCTTGCTGGTGAAGTCCTGTGAATTATTTATGTGATGGGTAGTGTTGCTAACTAGAGGAGCTAATAAAGTGGTTAGATGGTTTCCAGTATTGTAGGTAACAACTGGCCTGAGTGGAGTTCCCTCTTTGTAAATTTTGGGGTGGCTTCCCCAGGGTAAAGAAATAACCCCTGGCACAACATAGGAGAAAAAAACCTATCAGGACTAGATTCAGCAGTTCATGTGCATTTAAAAAACAAAGGCTACTCTTTTGAAAACAGCAAAATTCACATTTGGGACAAAGAGGACCGCTGGTTTGAAAATGGGGTCAAAGAGGCCATCTATGTCAAAACTGAACAGCCCTCTCTCAACAGAGAGGGAGGGATACAACATGATCTATCTCCAGTCTACAACACAATCTTTTTAACAGTTCCAAGAAGGCTCCGCATCAGTTTGCACCACTCAGGTGACCCTGAGGAGACAGATAAACTTCTGGGCAGCCTTAATGACTCCTGAAAGGGGTTGGAAATGATCAGCTGTCTGCAAGGAATATAAATCCTTCCATTCCCGACCATCCAGTCAGAACTGAAGAAGCTTCTTGGATGAGAAGCAAAATGACTTCATAGATAAACCAGAAAGTCCAGTTGCCTCTTGAAAAAGCACCTTTGGGATATATCAACACTATTTATCTCAAACATTGTCCTAGTTATTGATGTTAAATGTTAGGTTTATAACTTTATTTAATGGTGCTTATTTATAATATAGGTAGTTAAAAGGTATCAGACAATACCCAATGTCATTTACTTATTTATATTATTTTTGAGCCACCAGTTTCACAGCAGTGATACTGGGCAACGAATAAAGATTAAATCCACCATCATATATAATCCATGATACAAGACCTAAACCAAAAACCTGCACCAGCAGAGCTCATTTTACTTTCTGCCCCAAATGCCTAGGGAAACAGCTTGGTCTTCAAAACCTTACCAAAGTTGGACCTATCTGGATCACTGGGTGGATGCTGTTCCAGAGGCAGGAAGGCACAAATCCAGGGTACAACAAGATGGCATTGTTTGGTGGAAGTGCCTGGAGCCTGCTCTCCCTACTAGACATAGTGGGCTGGACATATTGTTCTATTACCAACCCCTCTCCTTTTCATGCCTTTGATTAATTCTATTATTTCCATATTTTCTTTTCACAGAATAATAACAGCAAAAGAATAGTTGCACAATGCATTTGGATTGTAATACTAGGAGCACACCGCCAATAGAAAATCCTTAGAAATAATTCCACTGTACTTTGCAAGAAAAGTAAAAATTAATGATGAATATTATTTCACAACTAAACTAATTCATGAATACAGTAAATCTTCTGAGAACCAAAATATAACCCTCTACCACTTTGTATAGTAAGATCAACTATCCTCCTTCCTAAAGCATCTCCTTACTGCATTGCATGTTCAGCATCTATTTGCAAGAAGAGTTCCAGTTTTATATTTGTAAAATCAGGCAGTGAATTTAGTCATAGTATTCCTCATATTGCAAGGATTGTTTCAGGAGAATGAAACCCAAATTTCAAACTGAAAATGTAATGAAGTCTGAAGTTTGATATTTCAACAAGAAGTAGAGGGTGTATCAATTGCTCCTCTGAGACATAGCAAGGGTTAGGGTTAGTTCCATGTGAGAAACAGCTATACAACACATACTGCGAAAATATGTCCAGACGTTCTACTTCTTAGGCTGTTATATTGGTCTTCCTTGAGAGAGATTTAGCTGAGATTATCCATTTTAATAAGCTGCTGCTTCTAACTGCATGATTCAAATATATTGAAATTAAATTACAGAATTTAAGTAGATATTAGCTTTGACTGGATGATGTCACATCTAGCATTCTTTACTCAACATGGAGCTTGAACACATTCAATAGAAGCTTCATCTCTGGATCTCAAGTAAAAAAGTAAGTATTACTATTCAACTGCAACTGCAACCAAGAACTGAATGAAGACTCTTTTCAAAAAGTTTTAGTATAGCTAAATACCTTATTTTTTTTACCCATGCATTTGATTTTGGGGGGATTTTTGCTATGAATTTCAGGTTAGTATTCAGCAAAAGAGTGACTGTTCTTTATTGCTAGCATGTTATATAAAAAAGTGTTTTCTATTTTGCATTTTCAACATATGAGGAATTCTGCAATACTTACATTTATCTATAGCAAACAGAAGCTCAGAATATCATTGCAGGGTGATGAATCATAAAGAAATGTTTGTCATAATGCAGTTACAAGTCACACCAAACCAAAGGAAGCAAGTGGGTTACCTGTCTTAGGAGATTCCATTGAGCCATAGAAAAATTCCCATTTGGCCTTGGCAACACGCTGGGCATGGGCCGAGCTTTCATGTGAATATCCCCACAAGCTTCCCTGTAAAAAAGACAAAGACTCTCATTTAGGAGGATCCCTAGATGTGAAATGTCCATCGTCCAGCTTTACATAACGTTTTGGCAAGAAAATATTTGGTCTTACTAAGTACCTGGTATTGTGGTTCCTTGCTCTGTGGGTGTCTTCGATGGCACAAAAGATCATTAGACAGATGGCTCATCTCACCAATGAGGGAACTGGGAGAGCAACTGGCACCAGGAGAAAGTGGGGTTCCATTACCCCAACTCAAAGAGGGCTGTGCGTTTAAAAGAAATCTGTTTCCAGCAAGAAGAGGATCTGAAGCAGATATCTCTGGTTTTGGTTTAAACCCAAGATGTTCCTGCTTACTACTGAGAACCACTGAGTCCTGTTCATCTGTAAAAGCCGAAGAGGATGTGCCTGTCTGTACGTTGAAGCTCATTCTATTATCCAAAATTACAGGATTCGGGGAATCTGTGACTTTGTGCTGTAAGGAATACTGTGTCTGAACATTTGTCTTTTGGCTTCTTTGCTTATTGGACTCAAAGTGAAAATCCTCTTCAGATTCCAAACTTCTGCTCAAACCATTTTCTTTTCTGGATTCTATCAATGGGAAGCCATTTAAAGTTTTCACATTAGCCTTCTCAATAAAGCGAAAAGTCACCACAGAACTTTGACCACCAGTGACTGGGACTACCAGGGGGACTTGATTGCCTGAGGGACATGAGGAACTTCTCAATGGAGTACATGGAGCTGTTACTCTTCCTGAGATGGGACAGTCGCTACTTTCAAAGTTATTCATCTTTATTATCTTCTGGATTAGGGAGCCAGTACTGTTATATATGCCAAGCTGAGATCGCAGGGGTTCAGAAGTCAGTCCCTTGTGGAGGAAATGAATCTTGCCAGCATTGGGTGAGAGATTGTGATTCGGATTAAAAGAAACAGGTATCACATTCTTGGAAGGAGGTGGTGTCTTCTCCACTGCTTGAACATAGTGTTGGCGTGACATAGCATGGTTAGGATGGCCCATAACTGCTCCATTCTGGGCCATTTTGGAAGAATGAGTTGAAGCAAAAAGGGAAAAGAATCAGGAACAGAAGCTACTTTTCAAATGTCAAGTTGGTAAATCTAAGAAAAGTAGCAGCATTACATGGTCCTGAAACAGACAAAGAAAGAACAAATCTCATAAACATTTTGGTATAAGACACACCAAACCAAAGGAAGCAGGTCATACCCCATATCATACTAGAAACAAGAGCAGAAAATATGATATTTGATATTCATTTCAACACCGGATTTTATTGGGGGACCCCCCTCCTTTTATCTTATTTTTTTCTTACTAATAGCCCAAAATTATAGAAATATTGAAACGGAAGAGATTGTTTACACCATCAAGCTCAACCCATGGCTAATGTAGGAATCCAAATTAAAAAAACCCTAGACAGACATCTGTGTAGCTTCTATTTGAATATATCCAATGAATACATTTGTTCACTCTCTGGATAACCATTTCCATACGACTTTTAATACTAAGATCCAACTCCCAGCATTCTGTTACAATCTGCCTTCCTGTTATTTAAGTCTATTATTTTATAGCCAATGCTCTGGAACTAGAGAAAGCAGGGCTTGATTTTCTCTTGGATATTCTTGCAGGTATATCCGAACAATACAATTAGGTGTAATCTGTCCATAACAGAATAAAATGGTATAATTACTTCCTGTGATTAGAAATTAGACTTCTGTTGTAGTCTAACAGTTCATTTCACTTCATTTTTTGCAACCATACAACACTACTGGCTCTTATTCGGTTTGTAATAAACTGCTGTTCCTAGATCATTTTGCAGGTGTTATTACCCAACCAGAATTCACCTACCAATAAATTTGGTTTCCTGACTGAAAAATTTATCTTTGTTAAAGTTGATCTTGCTACCATTTTCCAACATATTATTTGATTTTACAACATATTATACTTTAGAGAAGCTAAAGTATCCCACACGATTTTGGGCCATTTCCAAATCTGATAAGTATTGCCTCTGCCTAGGTAACAAGGGCATTGTTTATATTACAGGATTGAAATGTAGGGGAATATGACTGATACTTGTTTCCAAGTTAATGAGGAACCATTGATCAATGCTCTGAATCATTTCAGGAACAACTATATATCAACCTAATTGTCATACCATCGTACTCATAATCAGCATATGTTGGCTAAGTACAATTAAGTTTTGGCCTCTATGTATATGCTTTTTGAAAGGAAGGATTAAAAAGGGGGAATATTGCTTGTAACTGAGTTTTCACAGTGAAGCATTAACAGTTTCTCTCAAGGAGAATTGGCAAAATGGACAGCTAAATTGGCCATGCCCACCCAGTCACATGACAACCTGACCATGCCCACCCAGTCACATGACCACATAGCCATGCCCACCAAGCCACACCTATCAAGCCGTGCCCACAGAACTATTGTAAAAAAACTTTGAATCCCACCATTGCTCCTCACCACGCCTGGTCATTGCTCGCCATTTCTTGTCACACCCAGCCACTCACCTCGCCGGAGTGAGTAGTTTTCAAATAAAAGAATGCTCGCCTTGTGCAAATAAATAACAAATATTTTGACTTCAGGTTTGATGCATCTTGTAAAGCATTACTGTTCGTTTCAGTCTCCTTTCCTACTAACAGGTCCGTTTCAGATTGTAATTTGCTACAACCTCTCTTGTTTTTTGCATTGTTCTATGGGAGATTATTCTGAAATGTTATCTGTGATGTTTTCAGCTTTACAAGTTAGTTTCCTCCAACCCTGTTTTTGCATGAAATTCTTACAAGTTATTTTGACATTCCTTCCTCCTTTTAAAACAAAATAGTGGTTAAGGTGCTGGCCTAGAAACCAAGAGACTAAAATGGAGTTTGTCCCATTTTAGGCTTGAAAAAAATGGCTGAGTGACCAGTCACTCTCTCCCAGCCCAAACCACTTCTTAGATTGTGATTGTGGGGAAACTAAGAGGAGGGAGGAATATTAGATAACTTCTTGATTTCCTTACAAAGTAATAAAGATGGTAAACATCTAGCAAAATAAACAAATCATTTGTGAGAATGATATCCTAAAGGAGAAGGGGTGCTGAATGCCTTGTCACATGCTTTACACTACTGCATTCATTTCATTTTCATCCACTTTATTTTTCCTCTACTTTTTGGTTTATTCTTCAAGGATGGCATAGTCTGTGAAATTCTTAACTGTGTCACATGCCGTGGTTATGTGGGAAAACATCAGGTAAACACATCCATGTGACTGACAGGCAAAGGCAGCAGAAATCACTAAGCAGCTACATTAAGACAGAAAGGTGCAAAAAGCAGCGGATCTCAGAGAGAAGAATGCTGAGACATCCACCTTTCATCAAACTGGCACAACCTAGTCAACTACAGAAAGGTAGGAAAGTCATCCACGCCTTGTGTTCCTGCACAACCTGGATTAATTGCGTTGGGGGGACATTTCTCTGCAGCCCATCAAAATTTTCTCATGGACCACCAGTGGGCCATGGCCCACCGGTTGGAAAACACTGCACTAAACCACAGACAGTTTCAGGAATTTCTATCTGAGCTAAATGTTGACTATGGAGATATTTTGTACCACACAGAAGTCCATTGGCTGAGTCAAGGGAGAGTTTTGAAATGTTTTTATGACTTACTTCCACAGTTTTCTGCTTTTCTGCTTTCAAAAAACAAAAAAGTACTAGAACTCAAAGGTGAAGAATGGAAATGGCACCTTGCCTTTCTGATAGATGTAACAGAGCTACTCAATAGAGATTGAAAAAAGACCAGAAAGCATGAATAGAAGAGATGATTCCACCAGACTGTCAATCATTTGGAAGCCTGCACTCACAAACAAAAAAAATCTCCACACCACAAGCCAGGCAAACACCTGGGCACAAACAGACACCCCCTGATACCTCCAGCTTAAACACACCCCAACCAGGCACCCAGATGAAACCTAGCTTCCTAATGATAGCCGTCCATTTACCCGGAGCCAAGCTGCACTAAAGGCCTCCCATAAAGTAACACAATGTTGCCAGCCAATCAAGATACAAAAAGAGCCAAAAAACAGACAGAAGATATTAGAAACACCAATCAAGCAGAACAAAGCAAACTCCAAGACCAATAAACACAGACCAAGACTCCCAACCAATCAGGGTGAAGAAAAAACCATTCTGGCACAGCAACAGGCTGCCCCAAATTTAAATCTGAAACCACTGTAAAAGTCTGACTCACAGATGAACACTATACAGAAGTCTGATGATGGCAGATGAGATTCTGCCGAAATGTGGCTACAACTTTAAATGCACAACTACAATGACGTGGGAAAATACCCGGTCGTCCCCGGGATTTAAAATTATGAGTTTGGTGGTTCCTGAGGTCCAAAAGGTTGGTGACCCCCTGAACTAGAAAACCTCTAATGTTCCTTCCAACTGTTATTCTGTTATATGCATGACCATAAATGCTCTTGGTTAAGCTACAAAAAAGGAAGAAAAGCAGGGAGGAGGTTGCCACCTACCTGAGGAATTCACTTGAGTTACCAGAGATGGTTTCTTTGGGGAAAAGTAGAGGGCCTCTACTTTGGGGTGAAGGCTCAGGAATCCAAAGAATGCAACCCACCATATTCCTGAGATGTCTGCACATTTTATGGAGTACTTTGTCAAACGCTTTACTGAAGTCAATATTCAGACAATATTCACAGCATTTCCATAATCTGTAAAGAGAGACAACTTGATAAAAAATGAAATAAGTTTTTTGACAAATCCACGCTCATGGTATTGCATGTTTTCAAGGTTCTTGCAAAACAATTTTATATTCTGTTCTAGACACTTCCACATAGATAGAGTGGTCTGCAGTTTCCTGGAAATCACATTCACCTTTTTAGAAATAGAGATGCTTGTTCTCCCCTGGTCATCAGGTGCTTCATCAGTGATAATACCTAAGAACTTGGTCAGACAGCTAATTTTCTAGTAATTCTAGGTTAATTGAATGGCAAAGGTTTCTCTCAAACTCAATATTAGAACACATTTATGTTGTTAGAAAATGAATCTAAATAGAACATGACTTTTCTGTTACTTCTTACTATTTTGCCATCTTCACTAAATATGTTGTATTGTGATTGTTTTCCTTTTATTATGAATACAATTATGAAAAGAAACTGTCCTTAGTCTTTCATTTGAGTTTCAATTTCCTGACATGAACTTTGTTTCAAATTATATATTTGCACTCTACTTTTATGATCTTTCTGCCCCTTCCATTTCTCAGATTTTTTTTTATTTTCAATTCTTAAATTAGCTTTCAGTATTGCCTCCTTCTATGATCCTGCATTTTTTTCTCATTAGAATTGTTTGCAAATAAGCTTTTATTATCTCCTTGTTTAGATATTTCCATTTAGCCTCTGAACTTTAGCTTATTCTCCCTTCATAATTTTCTGCCATGGGATCTTATTTGCTCTGAGTCTATTAAAAGTCCAAGATATATATTATGCTCAGCTTTAGTTTTCCTTAAAAACAAAAGGATTACACGGTCACTTTCTCCCACTGTTCCTGTTTCTTTTATTTTCTCAGTTAAATCTTCCTCACTGATACTAGTAACAACTCAAGGCTAGCTGAACCTTATAAGCTTCTACTATCATTTGAGAAAAAAATGTTATAAGCAAGGCAAGTCACAAACTTCCTGAAGGGAGGATACTTTGCACGGTCTTTCTCACAATACACAATCAGATTAATTAAAATCAGCTACCACTATACGTTCATGATTACTAAAAAGAATCTGCAATTTGCTTTTGGAATGTATTGCCTGAAAGTATTGTTTGGAAGCCGTTGGCTTGAAATAGTCTAGGGTCTCCTGCTTGAGAATAGGGTTGGACTAGAAGACCTCCAAGATCCCATTCTGTTATTCTATTACTGTCTATATTTTTGCCTTGGTTGGGTAAGTGAGAATAGACACCAACAATATATTTTGTTTGTTTGTTCTTTCCTTATTTTCATCAATTTTTCTCTGTACCATTGCCAAATTTTTCGCTTT